CTGGTCGGTCCAGGCCGGATCCACATGGACCCCAACCCATACCCGAATAGCTTTCGGGTCCAATATTAAGACCTGGACCCAAGGGTCCAATTTTTGGGCCCATACCCAGACTCAGGTCAGGTCCAGTCTTCAGATCCAGGTCTATTGCCACCCTAGTTGCATCCATTTTGCAGCATTATTATTTGTATGCTAATATGTTAGATGCTCATTTAGAAGGTTTTCCAACATTAAAATAGCCTTATCATGGATTTCTTGAATGCGCCTTAATTCTACTATTCAAGGTCGCAACTTTATTTAAACTTTTTGCTTTTTCTATTTATAAAATATAGTTTTTCTTTTTTTATTTATAAAGGAGAAAGTTTATATAAGGTTGCAACATCAAAATGTAGAATTATAGGTGCACCTAAAAAATCCATTAAAAAAGGTGGTTTTAATGTTAAAAAGACCTCTAATTGATCATCTCGTCATCCAGATGTATGAATATGAAAAGAAAAAAATTTTGAGTCTCATAAATAATATATCTTGCAATACATCATCTAGACCATTCATTTTCAAGATTTTTATATATTTATAGATCTACTTGATTTTAACTATTTTTGGAGCTTAAAATTTTATAATTAGATATGAAAATAGATTTTGAAATAATATTAAATTTTTTTATTAAAATTACATATCATAATAAAATTAAAATTTAGAGGTGCGCCAGTTGATTTTTAAAATTGCAACCTTATAGAAACCGCACCCATTTATAAACTATAGTTTAAGGAATTACGTGGGACGGGCAACCACGTCATTTCCATAAATGTCGACCCTAGTTTACTATCTTTCCAAGCATCCTCAACGGCTCAGAAGGAATAAATCCGCTATTGTTTAAAAGAATTGAGGGCATTTTCGTCAACATCTTTTCTCCTACGCGGGCTGAAATCCGTTATTTAAACGCGGAACACGGGGCGTCAGCCAGACATCCTCCGCTGCTTCGTTCTTCGAAAAATTAACGCGGTCTCTCTCTCTCTACTTTCTCACTCTACTCTCTCTCCTCTATTTCTCACTCTACTCTCTCTCTCTCTCTACTCCCTCAGTTTATCTACTCTCTCTCTCCTCTGTCCCTCTGTTTATTTACTCTCTCTCTCTCCTCTCTCCCTCTATTTATTTACTTTCTCTCTCTCCTCTCTCCCTCTATTTATCTACTTTCTCTCTCCTTTCTCTCTATTTTGTGATCTTCTATGTAATTTATCTCTCTATCTCCTGTTTTCTGATTCTCTCTCTAGTTTCTCCCTCTGCACTCGCATTTGTCTCCGTGTGTCCACTTTCTCTCTCTAGTTTCTTTCTCGCTCTATATATAGACGGGCTGCTTGTAGGGAGAGTTCCTCTCTCTGCTTCATTGAAGAATAGTCCTGAAAAGCTTAATGGTGTTAGCCGTTGCAGGTCTCCATTAGGTTTTGGCCTGGTTTTTGTGTGTTCGCTGCGAGTGTAGGGTCCGCTTCTCGCCATTAGAGCTCATCTGTGGAGTCTCTGTTTAGAAGGTTTCCTCTTCTGGCAATCTCTTGTTGTCTCGTCTTGTAGCTATGTGATGATCGCTACTGAATTTCTCCATTTGAATTTGTTTTCAGAAGAGCGCTATTGAATTTTTAAGTGTTTGTTTCCTTTGTTTGGCAATCTATCCGGTTCTTACAGAAGAGGCTTTCTCCATCGAAGCACTGTGTAAGACTTCAGTTTTACTGTTTCCGCCATTGAACAGTCTCTTAGTTTGAGCTCTTTGCTGAGTTCTTCGTTTACTGGTATTTTCCTTCGCCCTTTCTCCATAACCAGCATTTTCACATCTAAACCATTAAAAATCTCAATTGAAAACCCTAAACTCAAGCAAAAGAGCCTTGCCAGACCAATCCACATTCTCCATTAATGGTCGACCGCGTGTACCCCGCCGATTACCATCATAACCCGCCAGAGACCACCTCAACTCTCCCGGAAAACTATAACATGCCTTCTGCTCCGCCAGAAAGCTTGAAACCATCCCTGGAAAGCCAGAACTCGTTACCGGGAAACCAGAATCCTGCGCCGGAAAAAAAGCAAGACCCATTGCCGGGAACCTACATTGTCCAGGTCCCAAAAGACCAAATCTACCGTGTTCCGCCCCCTGAAAACGGCCCCCATTACCAGAGATCTCGAAAGAGGAGAAGCCATTGCTGCCGCTTCCTCTGCTATTTCCTCGGCTCCATCTTCGCCCTTGTCGTTCTCCTCGCCGCTATAGCCGGAATTTCGTACCTGGTAATTTCGCCGAAATCTCCTAAATATTCGATTGAAAAAGTCGCAATCAAAGGGTTCACTCTCGGCCGAGATTTAACGATAAGTCCCGAATTCGACGTCACAGTGAGAGCCGAAAACCCTAACAAAAAGATCGGCATTTACTACGGCGATAAGAACAATGTCGATGTCTTTTACTCGGACGTACGGCTATGTAACGGGAAGCTGCCGGCGTTTTATCAGGGCCACCGTAACGTGACTGTGTTTCCGGCCCTTCTCGTCGGCTCTGACGTCCGTTTGTCCACGGCCGTTAACGGGACGTTGACGGCGCAGCTGAGGGAGGGGAGGGTACCGTTAAGACTGAATATAGACGTTCCCGTTAGGGTCAAGGTTGGTGCCGTTAAGTCTTGGACCGTTACCGTTAGGGCCCGTTGTGACGTGACGGTGGATAAGTTGGCGGTGGACGCGACGGTCTTGGACAACCGTTGTGGCGTTAGCGTGAAGATTTGACGGTGTCTTCACGGCGTGGTTCTGGTTTTTTAAGTCTTTTTTTTTTTTGTATAGGGATTGTAGAAGATATGTATTGTTGACGTTCATTATTTTTGTATCATATTCAAAATATTATGAATAGATTTGTATTTTTTCAAGTTGAAATTTGTTGGATTGATATAAAATGTAGAACGTATTTTTTTAAAAAAAAAAAAAATTTGTTGGATTGAGATACAAAATGTGGAACGATTTTTTTCTTTGTTTTTGAAATTTGTTGGATTGAAACAAAATGTGGAATAAAATCAAGTATAAATAGGGTGTAAATTTACACGATTTTATACTATGAGACTATTTGATTTTGAGTAATGATCTTATAGGACACTCCCCCCACTTATGTGTGTAGGACTCCAAAAGACCACCATTAAAGTAAAAAGTTATCATATGAGTGTGGGACTTGAATTTTCTATAAATCTTTAAATTTAATGGTGATCTTTTAGGGTCCTATACATATGGGTGGAAGAGGGTCCTATAAAATTATTTATCATCATTAAATTATGCATTATTTTTATAATTGCAAAACCATAAGTCCCTCCTAGATATCCGTTTTTAAGTATTTAGCGTTTTTTATCCTTTCAAAATTAATAGTCTAATAAAATGAAGATATTAAATTTTCCCATAAAAAGATTTTAAACTTTCTCTTAACCCATCCCAAACTAAAATAAAGGAACTCTAACTTAAACTTTCTCTTAACCCGTCACAAATTAGAGTAAAGGATGTGGGTTGTGTCATTTACTGTCACAAACTAAAGTACAGGATGTGGGTTGTGTTTTATAAACATCCCGTAAAACTCTGACAAAACTTTATATATATGAATACGGATGATGAATCCATGGAAAATCAAGGTGGAGATATGTTTAGGCACGAATGGAAATTGGGGTCGTCATGTGAGGTGTTAGCCCCTGCCCCAATCCTATTCTTGAATTTAAAACTTAAACCAGATTGCTTCACCCACCTAAGCCATAATAATAATAATAATAATAAATCAACAATGATTATAGGGGGACTCGAATTGCCCACTAAACTCTTCAAATTCGTATCATCAATTCCCAATGTGGACTAATTACTTGTGTACAAGTTGGAAACCTAGAATTACATCGTTTTCTATATAAATTTATGGCACTATATATATTGAGATCATTTACTTTTTGAGAAATGATCCTGTACGATCTTTTTCCGCCCATGTGTGTAGGATTTCAAAGAATCACCATTAAATTTGGCACGGATTTATAGAAAAATCAAATTCCACACCAATGAGATAACTTTTTTAGATATCCATGCCAATTTTAATGGTGATCTTTTGGGTGAAGGATGGTCTTATAAGATCATTACTCTTTTATGATAGGGTGTGGTTTCTAGCTTGCAACCTTAAACAATTTACTTAAGGCGCACCTCCAAATTTTTTCATGATATGTAATTTTGTTGTAAAAAATTCTTAAGATTATCTTAAATTTTATTTTTATATCTAATTAAAAAATTTAAATTCAAAAAATAGTTAAAATCAAGTTGATCTATAAATATATGAAAATCTTGAAAATGGACTAGACAATGTGTTGCAAGATGCACTATTTATGGGACTCAAAACTTTGTTTTTTTCATATTCATACATCTTAATGTCGAGATGATCGATTAGAGGGTTTTTCAACATTAAAACAACATTTCCTATATATTTTTTAGGTGCATATGTGATTCATTGCAACCTTATATAAACGTTTCCCTTTATGATATGCATAAATTTGAAAAGGTATATTATCTTGAGGCTCGATTTTTTGCCAGGTTTAAAGTCACGGCAGGCGAGATTATCGTTCTATGAAATTTTGAATAAGTAGTCGAGGTCATACTTATTCGACGCATTTGAGAAAGTGTGTTGGCTAACACACCAAAATTCTATTCTAAATTATACAATTTATTGAAAAGTATACAAAGAGGCCATTGATTTGTAATACAAAGGGTCACAATCATTGTTAGAAAAATCAGCAAGTTATAATTGGAACCGGCCAGTTATCCGAGTCAGGTTAGAGGCGGTTTTTGCGATCTTCTAGCTTATGGTACAACCTCATAAAATTTCAAGCCCAAAACCGGCTGGGTAGGGGTCGAACCAGTGATTTTTTGGTCAAACCGGCCGGTCTTGTTGCTAATCGGACTGGTTAGTTGATATAACGGTTTTATAGACAAATAACAGTATAGTTCAAATAATGCCCGTTATTTTCAATTGAAGCCGTTATCTGATGCAGGAATTCACAAGTCCATTTTTCCAGCTTTTTTTATTCTTTTTCCTGCCATTTTTTTGTGTTTTTCATGCATTATGGCTGTAAAACACTATTTATTGTCTGTAAAGCAAGCAAATTCGAATCCAAGATTGAAAAATCAAGTGAATTTGTGGATTGAAATGGTGGATTTTCATGTCTTTTGAAATTTCTGTCATTTCATCAATACCATCTTCAATGGCCAATGGGTTTTGCTGAAATTTGAGGTTATTTATTCCTAATCGAATCATCTACCATATACATCTTCAATTTGTTCAAAAAACAAAATATTGGGGGTTGATTTTGGCCCGAAAAATTGCTGCTTGAAGAACCTGTGTTGGATCCAAAAAAACAGATTGTGGATCAATTGTTTGGTACTTTTTTTATTAAATTGATTTGTGTATGTTGATTATCAAGGCTTCATCTATCACATAAAATAGGTATGCTTATTTATTATTGAGCAAATATTTTTGTATGATTTTTTTTCTTTGCTCGATTTCACATATCTGAATTTTTCATGATTTTTTCAATTAAATAAATAAAGAATACCGAGTTTTTTTTTTTTTAATGATTTTTGGTGCGTTTGACATGGTGATCAAAGCTTTTACAATGCTTGTGTGTTGATTTGTTGGATTATTCGAACATCTTGGGTGGTTTCTTGCTTGAAATGTTACTCGATTTTAAGAATTTTTGAGAAACCAAATTTTCAAAAAAAATATATTTTGTTTAATAAAATTATTATTTTTGATGAATATGGGAAGTGTTTTCCTATTTTTCTTAATAAAATAATTTTATTTGATAAAATTATTTTTTTGATAAAAATATGTTGTTTTGATTAATATGACAAAATCTATATGTATCGGCTTCTCTACCTTGTGACATCTTGTCTTTTACCGATGAAATTCTAGATGGACATGTAAAAGTTGATGCATCGATTTATTTTCCATTGTTTATAATTATGATTGCCAGTATATTAAAGTGTTGTAAAACTTGAAATAGGAGTGTGTAAACATATATGTGTGCTTATATTTTTTAGTAGGGAAAGCATAAAATGAGACTATTTACCTTTGGTACAAGGTGAGACATTAATTTTGACCATTTGATGTGAATTTGGGTGGCTGCAATTATTTCATTGACCAAGCTCAAAATTTAAAATAAATTTTATTGAACGTGGTGACACATCCAAGCTATCAAACTTCACATCGGATGGTTGCAATTAATTATGACCACCTTGTATCAAAGGTAATGATTTCATTATATACAATCCCTTTTTAGTAATAGGCATAGACTAATGTAATGTTTATGCCTAGCTAAAAGTTGATGGATCAATTTTTTTTCCATTTTTTCTAATTGTGATTACCAGTTTCTTGAAGTGCTGTAAAACTTGAAAGTGGAGTGTATAAACAGATATGTGCGCTTATATTTTTTAGTAGGGAAAGTATAGAATGAAACCATTTATCTTTGGTACAAGTTGAGACATTAATCTTGACCATTGGATGTGAAATTGGGTGGCTGCAATTATTTCATTGACCAAGCTAAAACTTCAAAATAATTATTATTGAACTTTGTGACACATCGAAGCTATCAAACTTCAGATCGGATGGTTGCAAGTAATTATGACCACCTTGTATCAAAGGTAAATGGTTTTATTATATACAATCCCTTTTTAGTAATAGGCGTAAACTAATGTAATGGTTCTGCCTACCTGCAACACCTAAATATCTTAAGTGCATATTTTGCACCGGGGTGATACATTTGTGGTAAGGTGTTGTAAACTTATTATCAGACTTTATTATAGGAAACAAAAAGGTTTATGTGACATGGTTGGGATCATGTACTTGATCATAGTATTCAAATATTTTTTTATATAAAGTTGTTTCAATTTTTTTGTAAGATAAATGTATGTAATAAGAAATTATAAAATTAATCTAATATTATCTCTTTTTTTTTGGGGAAGGGGGGGGGGGGGGGGGGGTTGGGTTTGACCCATTTTAAAAAATATCTACTTTACCCATTTGTTCTGTTAACCACCCCGGTTAGTCCGGCTTCGGTTCTAACCGCGTCCAGCCCCATGTCCGGTTAACCGTTCCGGTTCGATTTTGCGAACACTTGTCACAATCACTCTTCTCCATCAGATTTCAAATCAGTTAGTCGTGAGTATGTCATTGACTAACCGTTCGTTCGATTAACCGCCCCGGTTAGTCAAGCTCCGGTTCTAACCGCGTCCAGCCCCATGTCCGGTTAACCGTTTCGGTTCAATTTTGCGAACACTTATCACAATCACTCTTCTCCATCAAATTTCAAATCAGGTGGTCATGAGTATGTCATTGACTAAACTCAACGTTTTAAAAAAAAAAGATCTCAAACTTTACTAAATACCCCTAGCCATCCAATTTGATATTTAATAGCTATAGCAATTGTGACCTCCTTATAATAAAAATAAATGGTCTCATGGCTATAGTAAATGTGACCTCCTTATAACAAAAAAAAATAAAAATAAGTTGTCTTTTAAAATTGATGTAACTTATGGGCTCTTATTTAAATCCCCTGTAGCCTAGCACCAAAAACAAACATTGACTATTTAGTAATAGCACTCTTGAACTTTGTTTTTACTTTCACTACTTTGCTTTGAAACATATTTAGGGATATCCATTGGCTTATGCAATAAGGTAGGTAGTTCACCCCAACCAACCCTATTGGGTCCTAACTTGGGCTATAAATCCTTAAATAGAGTTATTGTTCTATTGTTTATGGTTAGGGGTGGCAATGAATCGGGTTCTACTAGACTCGGGCCCAAAAAAATTATCGGACCCGGACCCAGACTTGATTGGATCCGAAGTTATCTGATCTTGACCCAATTGG